GATATTAAATTTTTTTGTTGATGTTAAAACGATTAGGATTTATCTAATAAGATAAGAATCTCCTTACTGAGAAGAACTTTTTTTAAACCATAGACCAACAACTAGAAAATACAATAAAATTTTAAATTTTATCAAATAATTAAATAATACAGTTTACTTTGGATAAAATATATTTGGGGTGTTAAATTTTTTTTTAATCAATCAGTTTTTATACTTGATGTCTCATGTTTAACAAATAAATATCTGATAAATAACATATATATAAAAGTGGATAGTTTCATCACAATACCGCATACAAGCGACATAGCATTAACTAAACACTTCAAAGGCATTGAAATCATGAAGTGTTTGCCATGGCATCACAGTGAGCCTATCAACCATTATGCATCGCATGGAAAATTAGTTTGGTGCAGCGCAAAGGCCATTAACAATCATGAGTTCCTGGGGAAAAGGAAATCATAATTATGCACGTATGGAACTTATTGGGAGATCTGTACTGAGGATTTTTCATGGGCTGCTCACTTCCTCGTCAAATTGACAAAAGCAAAATATAGAATAGTAATTGGTTATAATTATTTTTTAAAATATTTTTTATTTAGAAATATATTAAAATAATATTTCAATTTTCTACAAAACCCAATTTTCACTCCCGTAAGCATTTCAATTTTCTGCAATTGGTTCACTCCCGTATGCATTTCAATTTTCTACAAAACCCAATTTTCATGTAACAGGCAATTATTAAATCTGACGAACAGACGCTGTGCCAGTTTCTTCCTCGAAGTAAAAGGACATGATTAACGAAGGATACAAGGCATGATTAAAACTTTGCACAAACTGATCATGTGTCACGCATGAAACAAATATACACGGATACACCCGAATTGGCTGTGCCCTTCTTTCACTGACATGCGAGAGAGGAAGTAGAACTCCGAATGTATTGCACAACTCTTTTGTTTTGGACTTATACAAACAGCTTCAAAATGCTAAGAGATGCAATTTTCCTGAACTAGAGCTATGCTAAAAGGGACTATTTTCAAGGTGTATTGCACGCTAAAATGTATTTTCAAAATGCTTTTAAAAATATATTAATTTATAATTAATATAACCACAAATAAAACAAATTAAATAAATATCAACATCAAATTTCAATCAACCCAACATTAAAAAGTCCAATTAAAGAAATAATTGATGACCAAAGAGCTAAAAAAAGAAAAAGAACTAGAATTGATACTTCTTTTTCATAAAAAAAAAAAATAGTTGTTTTCAAGGAATTAAAAGTGAGGGAACCACAACTGAATTTTTTTAAAAAAACTTCAATAACCATATAAAAAGTCTATAAAATCAATTTAAAATCTTAATCATCACAACATTAAAAAAAAATAAAGTGAAAAAAATAAGAACTAAAAAAATAGGACAAAAAAAATATTAACACAACCTGTAAGAAATTATCTCACATCCCAAAATGGATTGATGAGCTTATTTATTTTTTATTTTAGTTTTTTAATATATTCTTGACTGAGTTATTATGTAGTTATTGGATTTTGAAGGTAGTTATGATTTCATATTAGGATGATATGAATTCCAAAAATCATATATAAATTACATGAAAAGATAATTTTGCTCACTATAATGCAAAAACTAAGAAATACGTAAGTGAATAAATTCATAAATTTAAATATGCAAAATAAATTATCATATAGATAAAAAGTTAAGGTATAAGTTCACATTACTCACAAAGCAGATATAAAACTATAATTTGTATAACTTTTCAAATATGAAGTAGTATGAGACGTTAATGTTATAACTCTTCAAATATGAGGAGTAAGTTATAATTATATCCAAAACCTAGGGATTAAAAAATAATTCATTTTGTTTTCCCTATGCCCTCAATGGCACGTTGTTCTATCAGTGATTTTGGATGTCAATGATGCTATTAATTACTATTATTATATGTTATTTGTGCATTTTAAAAGTATTTTTAGAAAAATTTTAAATTTTATTTTATTTTTTTATTTACTTTAAATTAATATATTTTTAGTATTTTTTTAAATATTTTAATATACTGATGTCAAAAATAATTTTTTAAAAATAACAAAATATTATTAGTATATATTTTAGCATAAAAAATTATTTAAAAAATATCACAACCACATTCATAAATTATGACTATAGTATCAAAAATATTTAGCGATAGGTAGTGCTAGAAAGTCAAAATCTCCATTTTATAATTGTCTTTCAAAATAATTATTGAAACTTTATAAAAAAGTTAATAAGATAAAGTACACTTTACTAAGCTTTTGTGATATAATTTCAAACATTAGTTTAAATAATTTCTTTAAGATATTGAGGAGTTTTCACAAGGAAAGGACGACACATATTCTCATCTTTGGTAATTCATGAGTATTTTTCTACATAAAGGTGTCATAATCACAATTACATTATATTATGAACAAAACTAAAAGATTTAAGGCGTTAATGTTGCAAAATCTAGACATGTCAAATTATAACACGGTCTCTCAATTTTATATTTTTAACTTATTTGATCTTTATAGTTTTAGATATTTATCTTTTATATTAAATTTTATTTTTATTATGTTTCAATTATGAAATATAGAAAAAGAAGAGAGAAATTTATCAAAAAAACAGAAAGAAAGAAGGGAGAGAAAGGTTTCGGCCAACAAAATTTTGGCTAAAAAAAATCTTGATTTCAATGAATTTATTTTGGAGAGAAGAGTTCAATAAATATGATTTTACCCTTTAATCATTCTAATAAAGCAAATCAGAACTAAAATAAATTTTTTTATTCATCTAATATTGAATTTTGGTCTATTAGATGGTGTTTTAGCTAATTTTTAGGTAAAAAATATTGTTGAAATTTAAAAATATCTAATAAAAAAATAATTGTAATATATTTTAAAAAAAAAATTTATTTTCAAAAACACCTCACAAATCTGAGATTCACGCTTAGTATCACCACAATATTTCAAAAAATCAGTGAAAACGTAACGCTGTGAATGAGTCGTCGTTTCCTTCCAACACGACGCCGTACATACTCCTCCTGACCACTGCTGGAACGACGACTTACTTTATATAGGGCCTCGTAAATTCCGGTTGGCCCATTTTACCAGTTCAACAACCTGACCAAGCGGCCTTCCACTTGCCACGCTCGCATTTGCTTAAGTTTAGGCCCTGGGGCTGAAACTTCATTGGAATGGACAGATTGACCCATTCCCTTGCATACTGAGATGACAGCACAACCTCATCTTCTGCGGCTATTTCCATGAAAAAGCAGGGACCTTTCCAAGCTTGGACGTACCCTTAGAATAGGATTGGATCACAACCTGCTTTTATTTCTATGGCTCCAAATCCTACGGATATTGGCAAATCTTGAGCATGGCAACAAAAAGATTTGTGATTTTCCCTTCTAATATTGCATGTGAATAATAGACAAAATGCTACAGATATTTATTGCTTAAGGAATGGTTTCAAGTGGTGGGAGCTGAATATTTTAGTTTTTTCATCAACCTCGACAACTATGACCCTTGATGCTGACCATTCTCGCCTCAACTGAGAGCTACTCCTTCTGAAACCAAACCACAAGGAAGTTTATTGGTCGTCATGGACATTTTGTTGTGAATATCGCAGATACGCGAGAGTAAAATCTTCCAATCCTGGCTTTTTTTGGTCCCCTGGTATTATTTGCTAAGCTACTTCTTCCCTCGTAGACTTGCTGCTTCTCCTTGCAGTTGATTGATTCTGCGACATGACTATCATCCTGGAAACGTGATACAGTTCCTAGCTGATTGATAAATTTTACCTAAAGGGTCAATCGCGTCCATTGGCTAAACTTCAATATACAGCAAATACACCATTTGGTCCATTTAACCTGCGGACCTTGACACAGGAGAAGGACTTGTATTTTCCCATAAAGTTGTGGTGGGTGATGCGTGGTGCTCGAGTTGATTTCGATCATATGATTCTCCACTACACACCAATGGTGATTAATGAAGGGACGGCAGATTATGTATTGCTGCTATTTTTCCCTTCTATTCAAAACTAAACTTTTAGGTGCAAATTGGAAAAACAGAATTGCTGGGATCTTTGAAGACCCTGCATAACAGAATAATCTCTTGCATTCTTCAGTCTCTCATACTTTACATTTCTATTCTAGATCCCAGCAAGATTTTCATGGCTGCAAAATCTTAACTACAATATTAGGAATCAAGACTTAAGATTTGCAGAGTTAAATGAACCCATCATGCCACCCAAGTCGAGCACGTTACTGTGTCCACTTCGTTAAGGTTTCATGGCCTCGAGGGAATACCATAACTTCAATGCACTGAGCCATCCTTATCAGCCAAAATCCATCTTATTAACCTATGAATAACATTGTCTCGTACAATAAAAAGTTATCTTAAACTAAGAAATCTTCATTCTAGGCAGCAATCAGTGTGAACCTGTTAATCAACCAACACTTCTGTCTCATTCTTCAGACAGGTGACTTGAGCTCGCCCTAAATAGAACTAATCAATCTTTATTGATAACGAAGAAAATATCTTTTCGTTTGCGTGGCATATACACAAGCAAAACGATAACTGAAGCATGAAATTGATCAAGTCATCTAGTAATTGCACGAACAACTAACATTTTAACATGTATAGCATTTTCTCGACATCAAAAGAAGGTTTTAACAACGATAGCATGTCGAGTAAAAAAAGTTCTATAATTGTAAAGTGTGATTGTTTTTTTAAAATTTATTTTTAATATCATCCAATCAAAACAATTTAAATTAAATACTAAAAAATATTAATTTAAAATTAAAAAAATCAACTTTTTTTTTATAAAAACCATGTTTACCCACAGCCCAAACGAACACTTAAGTGGATGGATTATATTATATTATATAGTAATCATAACAAATTGAACAAAAATAGCAAGCAATATCATTCTACTATCACCTTATCCATTATTATCATCTCCATCAACTCATTGCAACAATAGAAGGACAAATTCTCTACCAATTTAAACGTATAAATCCATTACAATAAGTATTGGTAAGAAGAGAAAGAAAAAGGGGGGAGAGAGAGAGAGAAAACAGTAGTAAAAAACAAAAAACAAAAGAGCAAGCCACTGCCTAAATAAAAATTTCAAACATAACCACCATCTAAACAATACTATCGCCGTCGTCGTCATTAAAGAAAAAAAAAGCCTTCCTCAATGGTGGTTACGTTTCCACGTCAGCTTCCTTCCACATGACCCCGATTTAATCCGGGTTTGGACCCTCTCAAACTCCGCAAACCGGCAAGGAATGGTAATCCCACCTTGTTGATCAAAACCATATTCCTCTTCTGCTTCTCTTAATAATTCACCAAACAAAGGGTGATTAAAATAAATCAAAGGCACCAAAACTCTATGAAACTCACCATCTTTTTGACCCACATAAACAGCCAAATGCCCTTTTGGTACTGGAACAGGTTTATCACAAGCCGGTTCATGACCCACGGGTATATAACCCGACCGGGGTTTTGCACTGCAAATTGATTTAGCTCCTTTTGTTAAACGACGGCCCCAATTGATGATCTTCGATAAGGACTTTGACTTCGAACTGCATGTTGATTCTGATGGGCCTATGGAGTTGCAACCCGGTGGGTGGATCCGCGTCCTACTGAAGATCCTAGTTGAGATCCGGACAAACCGTTTGCCGATCTTGAAACCTCTATTCTTTCTCATCATTTGATATATTAAGAGTACAAGAAAAACCAAAAGAGGAGTTTTTGTGGGTATAAGTGAGCGTTTTACGAATTTTTACGAGGATGTAAACGTGGTGCTATGTTAGAGTGTGATGGGGTTTGAAAAGGGCCATGGGTCTGCTACAGACATGGTTAAGCGGAAGAGGGTAAGGCATTCTTCAGAAAGAGAAGTTGGTATGTTGGACATCTCAAATTATGCTACAAAATGAGACTTTCATTCCAAAGAGTAGCAACACTTGCCTGTCTGAACCGTTTCTCCTCGCCCTCAAGCATCATTTATTGCATTTGATGCCAAATCTTGTGGTGGTGGTCGACGAAGGTGGTGTTTTTTGTGGTGGTCCTGGTTATTCTTGTGAGGAGGTGGAGGTGATCAGGACTAGAGCTATTGGGAACTAAAGAGAGCTTGTATATAAAGGATGCAACAGAAGAATCTACCACTAGATAAGACAAATACAGAGGTAAAAAGCAAAGGACATGGGACTTTTATTTTCGAATAAATTACAAAGCAGCCCTCCCCCTTTATAAAAATAAAGAAAGAGAGCCAACGTTTCGATTCAGCCACTAACCTTCAAATATTTTTAGCTTTTCCCTAGCCCTGCTTTGATTCTATTGTAAAGGAAATTTACAAATTATACATGTATGTTTTTGTTTGTTTGTTTATATATATATATATATGCAGAAAATTATTTTTAAATTAAAAATATGATTTATTTAATATTTGAGATGAATATCTCATTTGACAATGCAATCCAACTGTATTTTTTATATTTTTTTAGTTTGAAATTAGATTTTTGTAGATTGTTTTATGCATTAATATCAGAAATAAATTTTAAAACATAAAAATATTACTTTAATATATTTACAGTTAAAAATATTTTAAAAAACAATATTTATCATATTTACAAAAGGCTTAAAATCTCTTATTTCATTCCTAATATAAGACTCACCTAATCAATTGACAAACCCAATCTTAAAATAAAAACTCAAGTAAATCTAAAAACTAATTTAACTATATAACAACAAATTTTGATTCAATAAAATGTGGGTTTTTTGCTGGTCGGTTGCACGTGTTTTACCCGCTGTCATCGGCAAAAGAAACGTACAAACATTAACAAGAGGTACGAACGTTAAATCAAGAAAGGAAGGGCAAAAAGTTTGAATACTGAGGACTTATTTGCTAATAATTATACTCATATGGACGGACATGGAGTGATCTTCTTTTCATTCTTTCTTTTTTCCGCCTTACGAAAGTTAGATAGGTACGGGAATTTGGAATTGTAACAAGTCAAAAGTGGAGGAAAGAGAAACGGGGAGTTTTGATATGGTCAGCCACGCGACTCTGAATTCCTGGAAGAAATTCATAAAAAAAAAAAAAAAATGTGTTGAAATTTAGAGAGAGAGAGAGAGAGGGTCAGATAAACGAGCGGTCAGATGAGATGGCTTCGGTCGGATTTACACAAAAAGTCGTTAGAAAATAAAAAAACAATTAATGGCGATGTGGGTCGTTGATTTGTACTTGTCCGGACATTTTAAGCCGTGCGATTGACGCAACATTCCAGTTTTTCTACCGGGGTTCCTTCCAAGAAATTGTTGGATTCTGCGTCGTGATTTGTCTTCGACGATCAAGGATTTTTTTATTAATTTCTAATTCTATTAAAAAATGATCAAACTAATTAAAAGATATGTCTGTTCGGTGCTTAGAATTCATATATATATATTCATTGAAATATGACCCAGTAATAAACCTACACGTAAGGAAAAAAGGTATTGTTTAATGCAGTGAATTTATTAAGCTGATTGGTTTAGCTAACTACGACTAATCCATTTAATAATTAGTTTATAAAAGCAAACCAGGGTTTGGCCTAGCAGTGGAAGGGGGTTGTCTCCTTCCACTGCACCTGGGTTCGAGTCCTGGCGTGCACGCCTGTCATCCCCGCGATACTTTACATGCCTACTGGGTTTGCAGGGTATTCAGTGGGCCGTGGGGATTAGTCGTGGTGCGCGCAAGCTGGCCCGGACACCTCACGTAAATCAAAAAAAAAAAAAAAATTAGTTTACAAAAGATTATTGCAAATATCTCCAAGTCATGGAGGCATAAATAATCTCATTCAAGCTAGCATGTCGACGACGAACAAATAATATTAATCGAATTAATTAGTTAATATGTTTTTCTCGTCTAATGTAGAATAACTTACTATCCACTCTACTTTTCGTATAAGAAAACTCTGTCCAGCCCAAAAAATAAACGAAGAAGATGGAGATTGAGAGGTTAAGAGCAACATTATTATGGCATCATCATCTAAGAACATCACGCACGTAGTTGGTGGGAAAAATAAATAAATATATATATAAATATATAAGACATAAATGGCGAGCAGGTTGAACATGGAGATAATTAATTGTAGCATTAGAGAATATACACTCCCAAGCCACCATAGATGGCGAAGACCACAAGATCAATTAGGACCGAGTAGCTTATATATAGAGGCAAGGCACGATGATAATTAGTCTATTTCACGAACCCCTTTTCAGCACCATCACTTAATCCTTCTCGAATGATTTTTTTTCTTAGAGAATTGAATCTCACGTTCCTCGAGTGTAAATCAAATAAAACCTGAGTTGTATAGGCAACCCGCAAAATGAGGAGAGAGGGCAATTCATTCCTTACATTTAGAGAGATTTTTTAGAGTTGCTATGCAATTTGTATTTCATGATTTTTTAAAATTTATTTTTTATATTTTTAAATTATTTTAATGTTTTTAATATTAAAAATAATTTTTAAAAAATAAAAAATTATTTTTATATATTTTAAATAAAAAATAATTTTAAAAACAACACAGGGAGTACCATGCACCACTCAATCTCTAATGATAACATGTACGGCAAATTCATCAATTCCTACGTTACCTGAGCTCACAATTCGAAGGTTTAACTCACGATGAAAAACCAGTGATGTAGCGGGCACGAGTCCCCTTCGTAAATTTACACATATATTTACTAAGGTCCATAATTGCCACACCCTAATCTTATCCGCCTAGGAAAAATCCACATTCCACGACAGTGCATGGAGGGTACTTGTAGTATGTATGAAGCAGTCAAGCTGAAAGGTCCACAACTCCGTACGCCGTACACTGTATGTACCTTCCCTAGGACCACAACAAAAGCTGATGGGAACATGGGGCAATGGCCCCATGCTACAACTACGTGCTATTTTAAATGATTTTATTCTCTCAAGAATTTTAACTTATTGTGTTAACTTTAAAAAAAAAAACTCTCAAAATGGTGGCCTTATCTTCCCAAGTGCTCTGTATGGACACATGTGGCGTATCTCGGTTTTAAAAGTTGTGAAGAAACAAATATTTTGGTTGAGATTTGCGCAAAATATGTATTTGTTCTTTTGGGTTGATATGTCTTTTGAAGGCATTTTTATACTGTCTTTTAATTTTAAAATATTAAATTAATATTTTTTTAAAATATTTTTTTATGATTGTGATATATTGATATAAAAAATAAAAAAATATTATTTTAATATATTCTTAGTTAAAAAATAATAAAGTAAAAACAATACATATAATGCTATCAAATATAATTAGTGAAGACACAAAAAATAGGAGATTGTATTAGGATGAAATTCTAAAAACAAGATGATGAGAAATAGGATGTAGGGGACAAGATCAATTTGTGATTAATTTAATGTACATGACTTAAAATCTCAGCTGTATCGTGTAGAGAACAAAATAGAAAAAAATAAAAAATATTTAGCTAATCTGTAATATTCTTGTGGAACTTAAGATTTTAGTTTTTAGTTTTCACTATATTATACATTTTTTAAATTATTTATCTTCTTTTCTGTTGCTAGTAGAAATATAGGCAACCAAGTCAAATTCTATAATCTGCTAAATTTTTAAACCCATCAATTTGTAACTGAATTTTTTCTCTATAAATTTTACAATAGATTTTCAAGTATGTTTAATAGTATAATTGCAATTATTTTTTAAATAATTTTTCATGTTAAAAAATATATCAATGATTTTTTTTATTTTTAAAAAATTATTTTTAATATTAGTATTTAAAATAATTTTAAAATACTAAAAATAAATTAATTTGAAGTAAATAAAAAAATATTTTTTTAAAATTTTATCAAAAATATTGTTTTTTTTAAAAAAAAGGTTGGAGATAAGCTCTGCAGCCCCAAATAAATTACAATTGGTAAAACAAATTTAGATTTTATACCCCCACACGTGTGCCCTCTCTCCTTCTTTTTGTTTTTTCCTCCCTAGTCTTCTTCGAGCTCTCCACTTGCATATATACGTTTCTGTAACTTAAAAAAAAAAAATTAGAGGTACGTTATGTGTATGACATGTATATATTATTATCATTATTATTATTATTATAGATTTTAATGCATGCTTGGCCAGTTTTAAATAATTTTGTATGCTAGAATTTGGAGGGCACCAAAAAAAAAAGAGCAACCTTGTTTTCAAATTTCTAAGGTATTTTTTAATATTAAATTTATAATATATATTATGTTTAGTTAAAATGTATGTGTAGCTGTTGTGATTATTGTTTTAAACTAAGTTATAATTTGTGTCAAAATATTGGTATGTATGTTTAGTTGTGCATGATTTAGGTTTAAATTAATATTAAATTTTTCAACCCCTCGCGTACATGGTTGGTAATATTAGCAATCGAGTGGCTGTCTGTATATATTGTTGAGGGGTCGTTATTCTATGCCTACTCAACCACCAAAATTTAAATATCAAATTATTTAATTAAAAAAAAATACTCAAAAGTTTTTTATTTTATAAGCAATCAATCCTCATGAAGTAAAATCCAATATAAATAATTCATGTTTGACCAGATTAGAGAGCTTAATTTAATGTCAATCTTTGATATCTTTTTAATTACACTTCCAGCTGTGACAATATATATATATATATATATATTTATGAAAAGATAACGGTAAAGTCTAAGATATATATAAGAGCTAATATAATTTATTTATTGTTTGATGATTTAATATGTTTAGTCAAGATTAATTTTATATACTACATGGGAGAATTTAAACTTTCAGATTATCAGAACAATAAATGCAGATCAAGCAATTCCTTTGAAAGGGTTGTGTACGGAACTCCGCGTGAGCAAGATGAATTTGGTCTCTCCGATCCCATCCACGAGCCTCATGATACATTTTTTAATTAGAGGACAGTACAATCAGCACCATCTGGAGATGGAAGATTAGAGGAAGCATAAGGAAAGTATTCTTGAAAAAATAGATATGGCAAGAAATATAGACTTGAATATTAGTTTTTTTATCCCAGCAACGAATATCTTTATAAAGATGATTTTAATCAATGATTTACTTACGCCCAAATCAATTTCATCCTATTTTGCTTCAAGATTTCTTTCCTTTTTCAATTAAAATTTGTGTCGTTCTTCCCTAAAGAGAGATGGAAACGTCATATTCTGATTCGTTAAAAGAAATCATAGGTTATTGATTAGCAGCTAGCTAATTAATAAATGTTTTAACGGGTCCTTTCCTCTTGTGTTCATTTTAAATTAAGGAGCATCCCGTAGTCGTACAATACAAAACTTGTGCTTTCCCATTGACCACCGTTCATGCTGGCTTGACTTTTGACCACGGCAAGCTACCTTCTAGAAGATCAGGCTTGCTTAAATCTACTGCGCTTGTTTTGATTGACCGTCTGGATAGACATGCATCGCTGTTTTTTTAATGGTCCGATCACCCTTCCGATCCCTCGCAGTATTAAATACTCAATCCTTAATTTGTGAGCAGGCATGTATTAGAAAGATTATTGGCTTGGGATAAATTGCGATACGGACTGTCTAGTAGATTTTCCTAAAGTTTGTTTGATGAATTCAAATAAAATAAATTTAAAATCTTAATGTTTTTAAACAATATTTCCTTCAAAATATACCTAATAAAAATATTTTTTAAACTAAACATATAAAGTACATTTAATATGCACGCTTAATACCTTTAGTACTGAGCATATATCCCAATGCCCCCATCACATTATAAATCTAGTATATTTGGATCTAGATAGGATATCCAAGACTCATTTCACTTTTTTAATAAGCTCGAGTTTAATAATTGGCATTATATTATTCAATAAATATTATTTTCTTGAATTTTAAAACTATCACATATTGTTGGGGTCAAGTACTATTGTTTTCATTTGAAAATATCCTCACCTCCATTAAAAAAAAGAAAAAAAGAAAAAAGAAAAAGAAAAAGAAAAAGATTAATATTAAAAAAAAATGCATACGCAACTAATCTTTTTGTTTGAATATGTATTTCTCCTGCCAGTCAAGCCGGTAATATATTAGAAATACGAGCTGGTAAGCCACTCTACTTTACAATTTATATATATATCTGACGATGAGGTATATATACACTTAAGAAAAACGATATTCACGACGGAAAACACTGTGAGATTTCACCTATTTAAACGCAAGCTTTTGTGTCAAAATGAAATTATTGTATCCGCACAAGTCTCCTAGCATGCTTCTATTGTATAGTGTTTTATACTTGAAGTTATTATAATCAAGAATGATTTATTCAATTGGTGTAATGTCTTAATTAAATTCGAGGAAGGAAATAGATGTGCAACTGATTTATTTCTATACTTACACGTGTAAGGATCTAAAAAGTATATTTTATATATTTGTGATTCTTTTCATTTTATTCAAATTTTATCTTTAGATGGGATATATTGTCTCTGCTCTTTTAAAGGGTATTTAGGATTACGGTTGGGTTATATTTCTAAAAAGAATTCAATTCTTTTTAAGTTTGTTTTGTGTTATTTTAATATGTTGATGTAAAAAATAAATTAAAAAACAATAAAAAAATTATTTTATATATTTCTAATTAAAAAATAATTTCTATTATTCTCCCAAACAGTTAATAAATGTGCTACATTGCAGTTGCACCACAATTTCAATTTAGAATTAAGATATTATTGTTTGAGAACACTAAACAGCTTAAACAATGTTTTATTAAAATTTTAACTTTTTCATTAAAATTAATTTTTTAATTTATTTTAAAAAACAATAAAATATTATTTTAATATACTAAAAAAATATTTTAAAAAATAACAAAGAATACAACCTCATTACTTGTTTGAGAATATAATTCTCATTACTTTTTAAATAATTTTTCGTGGTAAAATATATGTTAATAATTTTTTTTATTTTTAAAAAATTATTTTTAATATCAACACATTAAAATAATTTAAAAATACTAAAAATATATTAATTTAAAATAAATAAAACCTTAAAAAAGTTTAAAAATTTTTTACTTTTAAAATAAAAAACAAATATGCGCTACCTTCGTTCAATGTTGGATTTCAGAGGAGACACATGCGGGTTAATCCTGCCATTTACAAGGATGTGATATTTTATCCCGCATTTATAATAGTAATTATTTTTTAAAATATTTTTTATTAAAATATATATTAAAAATAATATTTTTTATTTTTT